GGGGGAGAGGAGAGAGAGAGAGAGAGAGAGAGAGGAGAGGAGAGCTGCTGGACAGCGGCTACCCCAACCTTCAGAGACTGGGCCTCTTGCTTTCCACATCAGCTCCCTGGACACCTGCACACTCTATTTGCTCCTCACAGCACGTATTACCCAGTATGGACTTGTCTGCTTTCTTGCCTCATTCCCCATTCGCCTGTGGACTTCCAGAAGGGACATATCTTACTACTCTTCATATTCTTGGTACATAGCACCTGCTATATAGCAAGTGCTTCATGGAATTTTATTAATAATATGAGTGAATGAATTAATATGTGTGATCCCTCTCACCAATTAAATTATAGGCTTCATGAAAGCCAGGGCTGTGTCTTTTTCCTGTTGTTTCTGGTACATTTCCATTTAGAGCTCTGCTGTGGGTTGAACTCTCTCTCCCTTAAAATCTATTCATTGAAACCCAAACCCCAGTTTCTCAGAACGTGACTATATTTGGAGATAGGACCATTACAATGAGGTAGTTAAGGTACAAAGAGGCCTTTAGGGTGACTCCTAATCCAATGTGGCTGGCATGTTTATAAGAAAGGGTTAGGACACAGGATCAGATACCAGGAATGTGCAAACACAGAGGAAAGGCCATCTGCAAGCTAAGGAGCGAGATCTCAGAAATAACCAAACTAATCAGCTCCCTGATCACATATTTCTAGCCTCCAGAACTGTGAGAGAAGAAATGGTTTAAGCCCCCAGGGCTGGGATGTTTTGTTATAGCAGCCCAAGCTGACTAATACAGACCCGTCCATACCCTCATCTCCAGACCTAGAGCCCACTCAAGGTGTGCCATGACCAGTGACCAGCCTGTCACAGTTATCACAGCTAAAAGCTCTCCTCATCATTCAGACTGTACCCATTCATCAACATCGCCAGTTCACAGGTGAGCCCTACCAGGGATGGTATTATCCAGGAGAAAGCCCAGAAATCCTCCAACAAACATGCCTGTGGTCAGCAACACCTGGATGACCTGGTCCAGCTGGAGAATGCCTATAATGAGACAAAAGTGACAGGTTCACAGGACCCTGGGTCCCTGCTGGCTCCACAACCAGAGTGGTGACTGTGTAGGGGACACAGCGGAGTGACAAAATGGAGAGGTGAGGAGCAATCACCTGTCTGCAGCTTCTCAGGGTTCTTCTTCACCCAGTTGGGAATGGTGAGGCCACAGTAAATGGAGAAGCCAAAGACAAAGAGGTTCCTGGATGAGTTCATGTCCACGTACTGCAGGAGGAAGGCCCAGAGAGAGGTGCTGAGATCACTCCTTCACCACCTTTCAGAAGGTTGGACATCTCTGGCTATTTCTCTCTTCCATTTGGGAGCAGTGGGTTCCAGGCCAAGGATTCCCTTCTCCTCCCCAGCCCCTGTCCCATTCTTCCCATCTCCATCCTCTGGGCTCCTGCTACTCTTCTGCGGCAACTCGCCCATCTCACCTGCAGATTGGAGATCCCCACAGCACTGATGATCCCGAACATGACAATGAACATGCCCCCGATCACTGGGGTTGGAATGGTGGCAAACACAGCCCCGATCTTCCCAAAAACACCCATCAGGAGCAACACGAAGCCTGCTGTGACAATCACCATCCTGCTCCCCACCTGTGGCAATCAGGGAGAGGAGGATGGAGAATCCGGCAGCCCAGATGTCCCAGAGGCCTTGTTACAGGTCACCTTGAGCATTGCTGAGATGGACTTTCAGAAACAGGGCCCCAGAACATACTTTATACCCTCTGCTCCCAAATGGGGTTGGAGAGAGAGAAAATGATGGCATGATTGGGGCCCAGCCTCTGCCCTCACCTCTCCACTCTGTCACTCTCATACCTGTCTTCAAGTGCTGGACCAAATGCTCATCCCCTAGGAAGCCCGCACATGAGGGGATTAGTCTCTCTGGAGTGGCAGTGGCCCTGTGCTTAAAAATGGGGGTTTGAGAGCCAATCTCAGCCCTGCTTCTCACTGACAGCCATTACCTGGTTTGCATAGAGATCCCCGAGGGACAAGGAGTCTTGGAATGCTAAAGAAGTGTGTTTGGCTACCTCCTTACAACTGCTATTAGATCTTGAAATATAACAGTTTCTACAAAGGCTTAAAAAATAGCTCACCCTGCGGTGAGTATCTTGGACCTTGGTCAACATCCTCCCATCACATAGCTGGTCTCAATGCTGGGGCACACAGCTGCTACCCTGCTGTCACTACCAATGGTTGTGCTAATCAGGGCTCACAATGGGGTTTGGGTGACAACTTGTATCAGTGAGGCAGAAATAACCTCTGAAAACAATTCTGTATGATAATGCAGTGGTATATATGTGTCATTATATACTTGTCTAAATCTGCAAGATGTACAACTTCAGGAGTGAACCCTAATGTAAACTGTGAATTGTGGGTAGTGATGATGATGTCAGTTCATCAACCATAACAGATGTACTGCCAGAGTGGCGGAAGGCCATTATGCCTTTGTGGCAGAAATGGGTCTCATTATCTCTCACTCATTTTAGCTGTGAACCTAAAACTGGTTGGAAACAAGTCTTCAAATAATGACACTCCAATTTGGGGGATTCCATATCATTCTTGGAAGTTAGGGCTATATTACAAATATTCTCATCCTCATAAATCCAGTGTTGATGAATATATTTAGATAGTTCTTGAATCTGTTTCTCATTCCCATGTACCTACCCCAGACCCTAACAGATACTATAATATAGTTTCAGTCTTGCAAGATAAAAAAGTTCTAGAGATATGTCATATAACAATTTGAATATGATAAACACTACTGAATTGTATACCTAATAACAGTTACCAGAGTAAATTGTATGTTTAGTGCTTTTTACCACAACTAAAGCCTTTTGAAAAGATACTCCAGCCTCAACTAAAGTCCATCAATGCAGTGATAAAGTAGCAGATTATACACTTGCCTATTTTATTCTTTCCAGGCAAGATACTTATTTATTTAACTGTCTTCATTAGAAATTCTTACCACATCAAAGAACGTTTTGTTTTCTTTACAGCCTTGACAATTAGCTGTGAGAACAGAGGCATGACTACAAGCACCATGGATAGATGTGTCGGGGTCAACCCATGTCCTTTGCACTTGCCACTAGTCTCCTAAGGATGGAAGTCATTCCACAATCTTACTACTGCACACTCTTTGCATATAGCCCTGGGCCGTTTTAGTCTCACGAATGACATATGGCTGGCAGCAGGACATCCTACAGAACTGACAGGAGAATTCTGGCCTTTAATCTTATTTCCCCCAAGACTTGGAGAGAATCAAGAAGTTGTGGGAACTCATTGCTGGAGAGGCACAACACGGGGCAGTACCTCAAAGGACCGCAAGGGGGCACGCGAGTCCATAAAACCAAGTGGTCTTAGCACCTTCACCTCTTTCCCAATTTATGGGTCTTTTGCTTGATGTGTAGCCTTGTTTTCATCTATGTACCTTTATTTCCTACTTTCACCCTTTCCTCTAATGACCTTAGCTTATAAATGATTTCCAGAAAAAAAGGCCTTTTTTTCTTTATTGAGATATTTTTTGTTGGCATGAGATTTATTCCATTTAGTGGGAAAGGAAATATCTGCTGCTTAGTACTTATGTAGCACTGTATCATATTTCTGCATGGGTTAATGTTCCTCCTGTGGAAAATGTTCCCCTCACTTGCATGAATGGCTTTGAACTCTTACAGAGTGGGTGTCATGGAACATAGGACTTGCTGTAGGGTTCGGTGCTGGCTCAAACATTTGCTCACAGATTTTAGCTCCAGCTGTGCCAGAGGTCATACAGGGCACAGAGGAAAATAGATCTGATGCTATAAAGACTCAGTGCCTTCAGTATGCACACCAGAGCCATTGAGGGAGCCATAAGACAGGGCAAGTCAGGGTGTGGGGGGGAGGTGCTGTATTTCTCCTTGGCTCACAGGACTTGCTCTGGGACCACTGCCAGAATTCACTGAAACATATGGAAAGCAACAAAGAAACACTATGGTTTTCTAAGTCACTTTATTTTTTGGCAGCAGGGATTGAACTCAGGAATGCTTACCCACTGAGCTACATCCCAGCTCTCTTTTATGTTTTTATTTTAAGACAAGTCTCACTAAGTTGCTTAGAGCCTTGTTGTTGCTAAGGCTGGCTTTGAACTTGATATCCTCTTGCCTCAGCCTTCCTAACCACTGGGATTATAGGCTGTGCCATCTGGTTCTACGTCACTTTAGAAAACATCATTCTCAAGAGTTCTTGCTGATCTGATTGATCTATAGTGTAGAAAATGGGGAGCCATGAGAAGTAGATGGGCAAGATCCTGAGAAGACAGGATGGAAGGCACTACTTTAGCATCCAGGCGGGAGATGATCAGGCTGCGGCACTGGGGAAGATGAAAGGAGACAGGAAGGGGGCCATGGGGAGAAATCAGAACCAATAGGTGAGCAAGAAGCTAAGGAGGACATGCCAGTGGGGTGAAAAGAGACAAGGATGGCAGGAGAAGTCAGATAGGGCATGCGTTGGGCTTCTCAGAAGTCACTGTGCATGAAGTGCCTTGGGGACATCAGGAGGGACTGCCATGCACAGTGGATCACTCAGGTCTGTAGGTAAAAAAGCCCCCACCTAAACTTCAGAAAGGAAGGACTCTCTCCAGTACCCACCAGTGACAGAATAGACTTTTTGCCTGTGGATGGCCACAGTCCAACAAAGTCAAGGACAGAAAGTGGAATCATGGGCCCTGCAGAGGCACCTGTCATAACCCTCAAACCTGCAAATACATTGCCTCTAATGGCAAAAGCCATCTGCTGATGTGGTGACTTTAAGGACCTGGGGATGAGAGAGTAGCCAGGTAGGCCCAGTCTAAGTCCACTGGTTCTGGAAAGCAGAGCACCTTTCCATCTGTGTCAGGGGATTACAGAGAAAGTGGCCACAGCCCAATCATTGCAGATGCTGGATGACAGAAAAGGACAGGGCATGGGTCCCCCCAGAGCCTCCAGAGAATGGCCCAGCTGATGTCTCCCTTTTAGCCCAGGAGGCCAGTGTCCAAAATCTGGCCTCCAGATCCATTAAGATAGTAAGTTTGGATGTTCATTATCTCTAGCAATTAGAGAAATGCAAATTAAAACCACACTGAGATTTCATCTCACTCCAGTCAGACTGGCAATTATCAAGAATATGAGTAACAATAAGCATTGGCGTGGATGTGGAGCAAAGAAGTTTACTCATATATTGCTGATGGGACTGCAAATTGGTGCAACACTCGGAAAAGCAGTGTGGTGATTCCTCCAAAAACTTGTACTGAAATCACCATTTGACCCAGTTATCCCACTCCTTGGTGTATACCCAGATGATGTAAAATCTGCATACTGTAGTGATGTGGCCACATCAATGTTCATAGCAGCCCAATTCACAATGGCTAAGCTATGGAACCAACCTAGGTGCCCCCCAATAGATGAATGAATAAAGAAAATGTGATCCACGTACACAATGGAATATAATCAGCCTTAAAGAAGAATGAAATGATGGCATTTGCTGGTAAATGGATGGAACTGGAGATTATCATGCTAAGTGAAATCAGCCAATCTCCAAAATGGCTAATGTTCTCTCTGATACACAGATGCTGACTCCCAATAGGCAGGGGTGGAGGAAAGTGCAGGTTCATTGGACTGGACAGGGGGAATGGTGGGGGGAGGAAGGGGGATGAGAATGGGAAAGACAGTAGAATGAATCTTATATAACTTTCCTATGTTCATATATGAATACACAACCAGTGAAACTCCACATCATGTACAACCACAAGAAGGGGAAGTTATACTCCATGTATATATGACATATCAAAATACATTCAACTTTCATATACAGCTAAAAAGAACAAAATAAAATAAAATAAGAAGATAATAAGTTTGGGTTGTTTGAAGCCATCATTTTGTGCTAATTTGCTACAGAAGCAACAGGAAAGTAGCAGGTACAATGGCAGATTCAGGTACCCAGACTGTCCCCAGAAGCCACCATCAGGAGACTTACCTTGGTGATACCCAGTGCCCCAACATTCTCGCTGAAGGAGGTGGTGCCATTTCCTGTCCCCCAGGCTCCTGCCAATAAGCAGCCAAGACCCTCGATGCCAATGCCGCGGTTGATGGCATGCTTTGGAGGGGGTGGGGCTCCCACCAGCCGGGCACAGGCATAATAATCACCCACAGACTCCACCATGGAGGAGACCACCCCAGCAATGATCCCAAAGACTCCAGCCAGGCTGATGGTGGGGCGGCCCCATTGTCCTGAAAATGCAGTGCAGGGGGGTGTCCAGTCAGAGGAGGCTGAGAAAACCCACGTCATTTCCTGGCTAGAGGGCTTTCTGGGAGACTGTAAGGAGTTGGAAGCTCTTACAACGACTTTGGCTTTGCCTGGATTCCTGCCCTGCCATTCCTCCTGAGTCTTATCAAATGCCCAGAACTTGAGGTCACTGTGCACAGAAAGAAGCAGAAATGGCCTTTTCCTAGGGAGGCCTGAAGGTTTTGGAATTCTTATAACAACCTGGAGTCTCTTCTCCTATAGGAGTCAAATATGGACTCCCTGGGGCCTATCTCTCCTTATCAATCAATCCCCCAACCCTGTTCAACTCTCCATCCCGTGTGACCTGACCCACACAGATCCAGTGGCCCAAGCTAGAAGGACACCTATCTTCTCCTTACCTGGGTAAGGGATGCGGAACCAAGGGGCCTGGCTCAGGACATTGCTTTTGGTGTCAGTGCGGGCCAGGTACCCATAGTCAGTGGGGGACGAGGGGAGAGTGTTGGTGACCGTGAGCACGAAGCAGATGAACCAGGAAATGCAGAGACCCAGCAGCACCTGCCAAAGGGAGTCTCCCATCAGCTCTGCCAGCTCCTGCCCCCTTTCCTACCTCAGGAGGGGTCCAGGAACATGCTCAGATGAGTAAGTGCTGGGTGACCACGCTGCTAGGGACAACAGGAACCTGCTGTGTCCATAGATAACTTAGCACATTAAAGAAATAGTCTGGAAATACAAGCACAAAACAAACTATGGGAGGAGACTATGGGGCAGGAAAATCCAGCACACTGGGCACAGCATGGAGCAGAAGGATTCCCACCTGCTCTCTCTCCACTGATTGCTGATCATGTGACCTGGGAGCAAACCCTCTGAAACTTAGTTTTCTCATCTCTACCATGGAATTAAAATCACTGTTCTGCAGGGCCTGAAACAGGGCCTGAAAGTTAGGTCCACAGGTATATCAATTTTATATTTGGTTGTGGGACCCCAGAACTCTATATTCTTAGTGAATTCTCCAAGTGATTCACATGCACATGGAATTTTGGAATCATTGGACTGCAGGGTTATTGAAAGGTCAATAAGATCATTATATGGAAGTTTCTTTGTACCTTGAGAAACACAGTTCTCAGTTAAACCTGAAGACACAGCTATGGTGACAATTACACACTGGACAGCGTGGTGTGAAATCAACAAAGAAGGCTCTGGGAAGGTATGCGCCATCTTGCTCACCAGCAGTTGGATTACCCATGAGCCATTGGGAAAGACCCTGATCTAAGCAATTTGGCTCAGCAGGCTCCTTCAGACACTTAGTTTTACATCATTAGAGGTGAACCTGGCTGTCTCTCCCAGTACCTTGTATGAGGACAAGAATACAGAACACTGCCCAGAACAGCAACTAGGGCTCCTGGGAGAGAAGGAGGAAGGACCAACAGCCGAGAAGTATACCCCCAGTCCTGGGACTCTTTCTTCCTCCTAGGAAGAGGCCACCACAGATGGAGGAGCTTTGATTTGGGGGCCACCTGGGCACAGGGAAGTTGCCAACAATCTCCAGGTACATCAATTATGAATGGAAGAGGGTGGGTAAGAGGTGCTTCTTACAGGGAAGAACTGAAAGAGGTAGAACTTGGAGGTGTGACACTTCTTCTCTCCACCATACACAGGCACAGGCACCGGGATGTTTTTCAGGAATTGAGAAAACAGCATGATGAGGAAGATGGTCCTGAAACAAACAAGCACACCCAAGCTGGAAAGTGGGCTTATCCTGAGCAGGGGCTCAGGAGGCTTTGGGGGTGGTCTGAGAAGCTGAGCCACCAGGTGTCTCTGGGACCAATGTCCTCACCAGGCGGGGCTCCAGCTGGTCGCCCTCTGCACAATATGTAGATACCTGCTATCTCTGAAAAGAGGTCCCTGTTGGAACTGCTTGTGGCTGAAGAGGACTCCTGGGATAGGATGCCATTGTTTCTGGTGCATCTGAGAGGAACAGACTGTTGGCAGCAGACAGAGTCACTGAGGCCCATAGGGACTGTCATATCTCTCAGGCAGGTCTGGTGCAGGTCTGATGATTCCCACACCTCACCTCAGACCACAAGAGGCAGAGTGAATGACAGTGTTGAGAAACTGATGTGACTCCATTTTTGAGAAACCAGCCTCTACCTCAGAACAAAGCCTGTCCAAGGAAGGGGGCATGACCCTTGTCCTTGGGAAAAGCCACAGAGCACTTCTAGACAGACAGTCACCCTGCTGAGTTATTTGTCTGTAAATAACAGGAGAGATCTGTGGCGCCAGGTGTTCCTGACTCAGGCTAAGTGAGGACCCATAGCAATCCCCTAGCAACTAACAATCAGCATGAGACATAGGAAATACCTGGGATGCCAGATGACCCCCCAGTAGTTTATGGTGGTTGATAACATGTTGGGAAACCATGTAGTTCAGCATGTTCTCCCCTCATTGCTTAAACCAATAAGCTTAAAGGAATCCCCCTCTTGTACTAGCCAATCACCCTTACCCAACTTGTTCCCGTCAGTGAATGTGGTAATCATGTTTTAGAGTTGTTTTATGATTTTCCCGTGGTGTGTGATGATTTGCTGAGAGATGGTATGTTGTATGTAAAGTCCCTGAATCCCGCAAAGAGTGTATAAAACTACTGCAAACCCTGGGCTTGAGGCCTCTCAGCGTCACCAGTTGCTGTGTGCGCAGAGGACCGAGCTAGCTGACAATAAATACCTCTTTGCTGCTTACATAGATCTTGGTCTCTTGTGTTCTTTGGGGGATTCCAAATTTGAGCATATCAGTGTCACTCCCAGGTCCCTCCAAAATTGTTTAAATGCCTGAGACCTCATTTCTTATTTCCTGATCCTCTCAGCTGACCACCTCTCCTTCACATGCCCACGGCCCCAAGGCCTCCTGGCTGCTTCCTGGTATCATGGGCCTTTATCTCTACAATGATGCTGAACAGCTGGGGCCATTCTTTGCACCCTTTCCCAGCTCAATGAAAACTGGCATCCTGGACTCACATTATTCTTACTGCTGTACTTGCACCAAAGAAAGCGTGGCTCGGCCTCCTCCCCAGAAAGTACTTACGTGAAGGAAATCCCCCAGTGGATTCCAGCATCATTGCCAACAGGATCAAAGAGAGGCAGGGCCAGCAGGGAAATGGTCGGAGCAATGGTCAAGGGGCCAATGAAGCGCATGAGAAAGCCGATGAGGCCTGAGAATCCCACCATTATCTGGATACAGGAAGCAACCATGATGGCACCCTGCAACTGAAGAGAGAGAGTTGGCCTCTGCTCAGCCCAGGCCCCCCAAACAGGCCAAGCTGCTCAGCCTACTGCTCAGTCTGGTCACCCCTGTGTGTGCATTCAAAGGCAGGGAGGGCTAAGGCAAAGCTGAAACCCAAAGGAACTGAGAGGAGAGACCTGATCTCACTCCTCTCCACTCTCTATTCCAATGGTCTGTTGTACATTTTCATTTAACATGAAAGATTTCAGGAAACAGGCCTCAGGGTTCTTATCAGTCCCAGTCATGGTGATGAAATGACTTGTGACAATTCAGTGTGTATTGAACATCTTTTTTTTTCTTTCATTTCTGTTTTTTTTTTATTGGTGGTTCACAACATTACAAAGCTCTTGACATATCATATTTCATACATTAGATTGAAGTGGGTTATGAACTCCGAATTTTACCCCAAATGCAGATTGCAGAATCACGTTGGTTGTATTGAACATCTTGCTGCTATACTCTTTTGTTCTGCTGACTATTGCTGGGGTCGGAAAACTTTTTCTGTAAAGGACGAGTGAGTATTTTAGGCTTGGTGGCCATACGGGCTCTGTTGCAACTTTTCCAGACAAGATGTGAACAAGTGATCATAGCTGTTTCCAATGGGACTTCATTTATAGACACTAAAATTTGAATATCATGCAATTTTGACATGTCAGGGCATAGTATCCTTCTTTGAGGCTTTTAAAAATTACCATGAAAATGTAAAACCATTCTTAGCTCATGGGCTATTCCAAAACAGGCAATGGGCCAGATTTGGCCTTAGTTCGGCCACCCTCAATCTATTGGATTTGAATGAGTTTATTTTACCTCCTCTCTTTACCAGTTTGGATGTCATACATTCCTTTTTAATCTTTTAAAAATTATTACTAACTCTTTAGTGTTAATATTCACATAACAAAGTCTACAGGTAAATAAAAATTTCTTTCCTCCTCTCAAACAATATAATTACTGTAGAAAACTTTAACTCCTATTGTTGGGAGTTGCCCTGGCTCCAAAGACTAACTTCCCCATCCCCCAAGAAGAACCATCCAATGGTGAGCCCTGCTGGCTCACATGATCCTTACCCACCAATCAGAGCCCTGCTGGCTCACCTGATCCTACCCACCAATCACACTAGCCCTGCTAGCTCACCTGATCCTTACCCTCCAATCTAAAAGCACCCCATGCCAACTGTCAAACCACCCCGGGCTCTCTAAATATGCAGAGCTGTTCCTCAACAAACAGGCATTTGCTCCGACGACAAGCCTTGTTCGTTTTTTCATTGGTATCAAAACCCGGGAGGGGGAATGCCTCGCTGCTTGAGGGCCCCCTCTCTCAAGGCTTGCTGTCCTGGTCCACTCTTTCGAGTGCTGTTTGTTTACAAGACCAGATCTTCAGTAAGTGAGTTCCCCTATCTTGTATCCAACTTCAGACGGGCTACGCAGGGGCTTTGACTGTGATCCTCCGGCAAACCTCTGACGCCCAATCTGGAGGAGAGAACACACCCCACCACGACCTTCATGGTCACGGTGGACTCTCTGGAACCCAGTTCATGAGCAGAGGTACTGAGGGGTGGAAGAACAGGAACTCCTCTCTCTCTCTCTCTCTCTCTCTCTCTCTCTTTCTCTCTCAACCACGCTTGTCCCTCTCCTGACCTATGGGGGCCTCTTCTTCCCTCCCTGCAGACTCCCCCTTATTAAATTCTGCACACAAGATTAGCCTTACTATCAATTAGACAATCCAAGTCAATGGCCCCCAGGAGGATCCCTAGATCCCGCAATTCATAGATATCTGTTTAACTCCTGTGAGCGCTCGAAAAAGTGGAAGGAGTTCTCCTATGTTGGGGCTTTTTCTCTTCTTCATTCTCACCCCTACCTATCCAGCAGATGAACACCCTCCCTACCGACCTCCCCCATTGGCTCCGTCCACCCCCTCAGGTGCTCCCACTGTCTTGGCTCACAGCTTTAGTTCCCCCAAACTAGATCCCGCCCCTAGTCCCACAAATCATGGCCCCTTTAAGAGAGGTTGCTGGATCTGAGTGCATTATCCAGGTACATGTCCCGTTCTCTATGAATGACCCCATGCAACTCGAGCAAAGGTTGGGCTCATTCACCACAAAAGAGAGTTTCAAAAGCGCCCTCCAGGCTTATAGCCTCACTTATATGTTATTGGCTAATACTCTCCTTCTTGAGGAACGTACCAGAGTCTGGGAACTTGCCAGAGCCCATGTGGATGAAACTCACTGACTTAATCCCAATCACCCTCCGGGGCCACTTGCTGCCCCAGATCAAACTCCCAAAACCCCAGATGGCCTTTATGTCCTTATGACATATTTCCTCTCGCAGAACTACCCTGACATCTGGGCCAAACTAAAAAAGCTCAAACAAGGCCCTGACACCCCCCAGACTGAAAAATTTCAGATGCTCGCCCAGTCCTTCAGGGTGCTTCCTTGGGTTGCCGCCCATCACCGAAAACCTCCCTGGGCACCTACTTCAAGTGTGGCAAGGAGGGACATTGGGCCAGGGCATGTCCTGCACCACACACTCTGCGTACCCCATGCCCTAATTGTCAACAACAAGGTCACTGGGGCTCTGACTGTCCTAGATCTTGTAGGAGGCCTATGGCAAGGGAACCCTCTGACCTTCTGGGCATGGCAATCAATTGACAGTGCCTTGGGTCCTTGTCCCTGGCTGTAACAATCAATACACAGAAACCCAGGGTGCGGATTCAGGTGGATAGGTGCAAGGTTGACTTTCTCCTTGACAACAGAGCTACCTTCTCAGTCCTGACAGAATTCTGGGGGCAAACAGTGCCGTCCACCTCTCCTATTGTTGGGGTAGGAGGAAAGACCATCTACCCGAGAAAGACTCCCCTATTACTCTGTTCCATAGACAACTTCCCAACCTCTCAGGCATTCCTAGTTAATGTCATCCCAATGTCAAGTTCCTTTGCTTGGCTGAGATATTCTCTCTAAATTCAATACAACAATCAACATACAGCTTCCTGGCATCACTCAGGCCCCAGAATCGGCCTGTTCATTTTTTCTAGCCCTTTCGGCAGAAAACTGGCCATTCTGCTCCACTTGTGAGGCTGACATGAAATACCATACTAACCTAGGTGACCCAATTGTATGGGATACCCACACCCCCTCCACCATTTCCTGATTATTCAGGACATTCTTAGCAAGGGGTACTTCCATCCTGCTCATTCCCCTTACTCCAATACTACGGTAAAAATACCCAATGGGTCCTACCTATGACTCATCAACACTTCCGTTAGGCCCATAAAGTTCTTCTGGGCCTACAACATACATCCTTTGGTTCCCAACCCATACACTCTGCTAACTCAGATCCTCCACACTGCCACCCACTTCTCAGTCATAGATTTAAAGGATATCTTTTTGCCTTTAACCTGGACTGTCCTTCCTCAGGGATTTCGAGATAGTCCACACCTCTTTGGACAAACCTTGGCCTCCCACCTCCAATCTTTTCATCCCCAGTGCCCCAAATCCACCCTCTTGCAATATTTTGATAATCATTCAGCAAATCTCTTTGCCCACCTGCAGAGAGGAAAGTACCCCACCACAGTCTTTAAGGCTACGGTGGCCCTCAGGGACTCCTTCCTTGGGCAGATTTGAAAGTCCTAGTCCTCTCACCTTAAGACTTGGCCACTAGAGAGACACTTACCCTCCCCTTCCTCTCCCCTCTTTCTGGCCCTGGGAGTATCCGGCCTCTCCAGGAGGGGTCCCGAAAAGCCTTGGCTAAGGTTTCCCATGGCTCCGGCTCCATCCAAGATGAGAACTTCGACTGTCAGGATTCGGTGATGACCAATCTCTGCAGCTCGAACCTGCCACTAAGGCACTCCTAATTTTTGGCTCTAGCAGGGACACCCCTTTTGCCAATAAATCAGTTTCCTCCTTCTCTGTGTCCTCTTCCCTCCTCCTTACATGGGTAATGTGTCCTCTCTGCCAGTTGACTCTCCCCTACAATGCCTCTTGGATCAAATATAGCACCCAGGCCTGGCCCACTTATCCCTTAGACAACCAAAGCAGATGGCCCCTTTTTGGGTCCCTGGCTCCCTCCATTCTAAGGAATCTCTTCCAGGCTTTCTTCTTGCTCTGATCCAATCCTGCTCTCTCCACCTCTTGCAAACAAATTCTTTTGGCCTCCAAAGGGCACTCAATAGATAACAGAGTTCTCCTACTTAATTTCTTGGCCTTAAAGAAATATCGGGCCTCTCCACAAAAGGCCCAAATAGTATGTATCTAGGGTTCTCTATCTCTCAAAGGAAAAAGGCCATTATTGTGTCTATGCCTACACCAAAGACCAAAGATGACTCTCCTCCTTGGGTTTGGCTGGGTACTTCAGGGCCTGGAATCTGGCCAAGGGCCCCCAAGATGAACCCCTACTCTCAGCAGCAGGGAAGCCCTTTAAAAAGGCCCTCCTCTGGGCACCCACCCTGCATCTCTCTGACCTCTCCTGACCCTTCACCCTCTATATAAAAACAGGGACAAGTTCTAGCATTCAGAGTCAGGAATATGGCCCCACATTTGCACTAGTGGCCTACCTATCCAAACAGTTTGACTCCAGCATCATGGGCTGGGCCCCATGCCTCAGAGCCCTAGCAGCGGCCCATGACCTCCAGAAAGAAGCACACAAGCTTATCTTTGGCTCCCTAATAACCATCTCATCTCCTCACCATTATTTTCTCACTTACAAGGGGGTGACAGTCACTTCCTCCTTCCAGGGTTCCATCCCTCCTTGTCTCTCCTTGAAAATCCCTCCATCTCTTTTCAGCCCTGTTCTCCATTAAACCCTAGTTGGCGCGTACAGTTTGGGCATGTGCACACTCTGGTGTTCCCATCACCACCCTCCAACAGCGTTCCCATGCCTGGATTCCTGGTGAAGTTGTTTCTTCCTGTTGCTTACATCTACCCCTACCCAGTTATCTTCAGTGAGTCCATGACTGTCCTGGGAGGCAAACTGAGCTCTCCTTGGGTGAGACCTTGGGTATGCTCTGGTCCAGCCCACCTGCTCTATCGTCACTCTGTCTTCCCCTGTCTGAAGTGCTCTCTAAATCCTTCCTTTCCCCAACTTCTCCATCCTGTGTGGAGGTTGCCCTGTTATGGGGATCCACATGCCTTGCTTCCGAAAAACCAAGGTGCTTCTTTGGGTCCTGCCCATTGCCAATAGAAGAGTGAGAAGCTTTGGTGTCATGAGCTAGTTACAGGCTTTGATAGAGTTTCTGCTTTTCCTATGTGTATGTTTGTGCATGTCTGAGTTCAGTTTTAAGTTCCCAGGGGAAGAAGTCATCATCTTCTGATGGCAGCCGAAGTGTACCTAAGTACCACTGAGACTCGCTGCTCAGACCAGTGGTTAGCTGGAGCATCTATGCCAAGTATGATAGCATGCACTTAGTGTGTCCACCTTCAAGTTTACACAGGGCTCTAGGGGGCCTCTAAGTTTCATAAGAATTCCAAGTATCAGTATTTAAAGTTCAAGTGTTTCACATAAAACCTAGAGAGATTTGACTGCTCTCAAAGGGAAATATGGTAGCTGGTACACCCAGGTAGGAGAAAGTTTGAAGAGCAGACTTAATAGAGAGGGGAGGGAGCTATATTGGACTAGGAATGAAGAGTGGAATTCAGGGTGTTAGGTGCAGGACAGGCTGGTCTGCAGGGCCTACAGGGCATGCCAAACAAAGTTAGCTGCAGGATGACCTGACCACTCAAACCCTCTGTCTGGTTCTATATCACCTGTTTGCTTCAAGCCCAAATGCCCAAGCCCCTGCTCAAGGCTGAACACTCAACCCCCTGCTCAGGGTTGAACACTGAACCCACCTTGGGCCAACAAGGCAGCTTGCAGACCCAGAGACCCCATTAGATTTGGGCTATAAAAACTCCCTGTGCCTGTTCCTTCCCCCTATCATAAAGTTCATTCAGACTCAGGTGGGTAAAATTTCTAGTCAAGCTTTTAACCAGCTTCTCCTCAGGAATTACCAACTCCTGGCTACTGATGATACCTCCAATTGAGACCTATGCCGAATGGACTGATGTCATCATGGATCTGTGGTGGCAAGGAACCTTTGTTGATACCGGTCTTCTCTGCCCTCCTGTGGGGGCTCCTTATTTCCCTCCTCTTTCTCCCCCACTGCCCCATTTCAGCAGGAAGCAGACAGAATGAGTCAATGCCCATTCTCATTTAATAACAAAGAGGGGGGAATGTTGGGAGTCACCCCAGCTCCAAAGACTAACTTCCCCATCCCCCAAGAAGAACCATCCAATGGTGAGCCCTGCTGGCTCACATGATCCTTACCCACCAATCAGAGCCCTGCTGGCTCACCTGATCCTACCCACCAATCACACTAGCCCTGCTGGCTCACCTGATCCTTACCCTCCAATCAAAAAGCACCCCATACCAACTGTCAAACCACCCTGGGCTCTATAAATATGCAGAGCTGTTCCTCAATAAACGGGCATTTGCTCTGATGACAAGCCTTGTCCGTTCTTTCACCTATTACCATCTTCTGTTTTCTATGCTATTATTGCCAAGTGTATATTTTTCCGCTGTCATTGATTATTATTACGAACTTTCTTTATTTTTGTGCAGTTGCTCCTTACTTACATTTACCTACTGCCCTACACTGAACCGTGTCACATTCCAAATTACGATATCAAAGTCCTAGCCCCCAACATTATGGTATTTGGAAATGGAAGCTTGGGAGGTAACAAGGTTTAGGTGAGATCAGGGGAGTGAGGCCCCCATGACAGCCTTAGTACCATTATATGAAAAGGAAGCTTCTCTTTCCCATGCATCAAAGAAAGCTATGAGAGGACGTAGTTAGAAGGCAGCCATCTGCAAGCCAATGAGAGAGCCCTCACCAGAATCCAACCATGCTGGCAACCTGATCTGAGGCTTCCAGTCTCCATTACTGTGAGAAAATACATTTCTGTTTAAGCCATGCAGTCTATGGTGTTTTTTTATAGCAACCCAAGCTGACAAACATACCTACGCTTTAACCACATGGTCCTTTCTTCACTATCGCTTCTTTCCCACCACTCTTTAATTCAAGATTTAATTTATTTTACCTGAAGAATTTCTTTTAGTAGTTATTTCATGGAAGGTCAGTAGTGAATAAACTCTGTCCATCTTTGTTTCACTGAAAATGTTTGACTGTGTCATCAATCTTGTATGATATAGAATTCTATAGTTGGCGACTGAATTCTAGGATAACAGTGTTTTCTCTCAGCCGTTTGGAAATATTCCATTGCCTTCCAACCTCTGAGGCTTCTTACTGAGAAGGCTGCAGAATGTCCAATTTCTATGCTTTTGTAGGTTGTTTTTCTTTTCTTGTTACTTTTAAGATTTTTCTCTGTGTATTTGGTGTAACTGCTTCATTATGATGTGTTCACTGTGGATTTGCTTTTATTTATTCCACTTGGGACTTAATGTGCTTTTTTCCAGAGTATTCCCATCTTTCGTCTGTTCTACACTATCAGATGTTCTGTCTTTTAATACTATTATCTCTATTATGGCCTTTCAGAACACCAATTAGATGCAAGAAGACATCTTGTTCTATTCCACATTTCTTATTCTTTATTTAATATTCCCATTTTTTTCTATCTGTGCTGAATTCTGGATTATTTCCTTATATAATCTTTCAGTTCATTAATCTCCCTGTGTATAAATGCTCTTTGATCATTAAATGCATTTTTAAATTGCAATGACTACATCTTTTTATTAATAACATTCTATTGATTTTATTTTCAAATTTCCCTCTCCATAAATTTTCAAATTTATTATTGTGTGTAGTATAGTTTCTAATGAGTCTCGATTCTCTTAAATTAATTTAAAATGTTGACTTAATAGCCTTACAGGTTGTTTAATTACCTCTTGTTTCTGCTGAGTCTCTCTAATAATACATTATTTTCTTATGTGAAATGCCGACATTTTCACCTCTGAGAGCTCATATTTGGGGGATTGTTTTTTCCTGTGGGAGTCTTGTAGAGCTGGGAATGTGGAAGATTCCATAGAGTGACTTCACATTTTCTTCTGCTGAGAGCCACAGGTATTTTGTTGACAGGACCTGTCTCCACTCCTGAGTTTGGGAAACTTGCCACCAGCCTCACGTGTTGAGAGCTGTAGTTTTAAATCCTGAGGCAAATCTGTGTCCCAACACTTCCCACAGACTCCTGGGCAGAATGAGAGAGAGGCTTCCTTTCTCTCTCCCTATCACAGACCTCTGCTCACTGGAGGGATTCCCAGCTGATCATTACAACCCAAACTTCGAGCCTTTGTCTTGTGTCTGGCTTGATTCCTCATCCCACCATTGTAAGCCCCATGCTTCTGACTATGCTTTCCATCCTTGTTTCTAGAAAGAGGCATTGCCCCTTGGCTCTCTGCTCCCATATGCATTTGAAAGTTCAGTTCATCCATCATTCTTCTATGTTTATACTGTGAGTGATTCTGTGCAGCTCAAAATACCATAACACTGGGAGGTGAAGTTTAAACTGGTCTCATGTTTGGAAAATTGAACTTGCCATTTCCCCACCCCCCATACACACAATTTGCTACTTTTCCTGCAAGCACTATCTATTCAGAACAGAATCACTGTTCATTTTCCCTCTCCACTGCTTCCTGAACCTCAGCAAGTCATATTCATGTGGCTTTCATCTGTGACTAGACTGTGATTTACAGTTGGTGTGCTGACCATGGGTGGGTTCCAGCCTTGACATGTGCACAGGTCAATGTAATTTAGTGAGACATGGAGAATCCACCCTCCATCCCAATAGGGTGACCTGGTCAACAAAACCAACCAATTAATCAATTAAGAAAATGAGGTTGATACGTGATGGAACTTTCACTCATTAACAGCACTGACGACCAAAAGAGGTAGCAAAAAATATCAACTAATACTGGGCTTGTGGCCCATTGCATTGAACTCCTCAAGGTGGGAAAGGATGGTGCAGAAGAGATACTGCCTTAGTCCTGGGCAGAAGGGACCCCTATGCTGGGCTGTGTTTTAGAGCAGGAGTTGGCAAACTTCTTCTGTTAAAAGCTACTCTTTGAAATGCTTTTTAAAATTTTGGGCCATGTGTGGTTTCTTCCACATACACCTTTTCTTAAGCAAACTTTGAAACATAGAATTTATTCTTATTCATGGGCAGATAAAAAAAAAATCACAGGTGGAATTTGGTCCAAGAACCATAGTTAGCTGATTCCTGCTTTAGGGAACCCTACAAGCACACCCAAAAAAAAAGAAAGAAAGAAAGAAAAGAAAAGAAAAGAAAAGAAAAGAAAAGAAAAGAAAAAGAAAGAAAAAAAGAAAAAAGCAAGAGAGAAAGGGATAGGGAGTGGGAGGGGGAGGGGAGGGGAGGGGGAGGAGAGAGGAAACAGAGGAAAAAAATGTATTAAAGAAATTGGAGCGTATCTCTGTCACTTGAACTCTTCCCCCTTGAAAGATTAAAAGTGTTCCCAAGGATGCCCCTCTTCACACTCTACGCTTTCCTCACCAGCAGCCCCCATCACCTCTCCTGCTCATCATCCTCTTTTATTTTCTTCATTGCACTATGACTCCCTGATGTTTTCCTCTTGCATCTTCTTATTGGAGCATACTCACTAGAATGCTGGCTTCCTGAGGACAGGATCCTTATCTGTTCACTTGCCCATCACTATCCTAAAGCCCAGATCTTTCCTGGCAGGGAGCTGGATAATAAAGCTTCAGCCAATGAATTGATCCCATCTCCTCACTCCCACCTGTCCCTCCCCTAGCCTTTTACCTCTCGGATCCTCTTCTGCCATTCCTCTGTGAACTCAGGTGAGCTGACATTCACCTGGCTGGCATTGAGTGTCCACTCTGGGCACTTCCAGGATGGAAGAGAGAGCATGGCCAGAGAAGGCGCCAATAAAGCAAAGGATGCTCCCTGGAGAATCGGTAACCTGGAGGAGCGGGAGGATGCAGTCACTTCCTAAGATCTCCCACACAGGCCTGGCCCTCCAGTGCATCTGGTGACCTGGCAGTTAGTTATCAGGGCTAGGGCAAAGTGACTTCAAACCCATGATAGCAGGCATGTTGTGCAGAACCAGGGCAGGTCAGACTAAATCAGGGCAGAAGTATTTGCTCTACTCTGCAGAGAGTCCAGAAATAATGGAAAGGAGACATAGTACCTTGATCACTCCAGAAGAAGAAAGGACCAGGCAGAAACCATGAACAATCCCAGAGGAGTGAAAACTTGGAAATACATTTGGTCAATATTTTACTTCCTCTCGTGATTACCTTTTAAACTTAGTGTCTTATTTTAAAGTAAATGGTGATATATCTCCCTACATGAACTTGAAGTAAGCACCAAGTGTGGGAGACCATTAGTGGATGCTTTGAGAACCCAACCTCATATAAGGCAGGAAGCCCCCTATGCTGCCAGGGCTAGAGCTACCAGCCCTGCCCTGAGCAAGGCACTCATCGGCTCTTCCACAAAAAGCATCAGTTTTTGACCTTGTAATTTTTAGCATGGTTTTAATTGATAAGGTTTTCTGAAGTCTTATTGCAAAATTAGCATATTTACTTCTCATTTTAAAAAGCACATCACTGAATACTGACTAGCAGTTAAGCAAGTGTACATGGCATTTTAAAATTTACTCTTTTATATTTTGGATATTGCAGAATAAACCTAGAAGCGCTTTACCACTAAGTTCCATCTCCAATTCTTTTTATTTTGAGACAGGGTTTTGCTAAGTTGTTGAAGCTGACCTCAAACTTGTGATTCACCAGCCTCAGTCTCCCAAGTTGCTGGAGTTACATGTGTGCACCACTGCGCCCAGATGGACATGGTCTTTGATTCCTGAGCTAGACTTTACAACCTACAGTTTCTCAGGAAATTATTCATTAGGAACTCAGGTAAGCCCACTTCCCTGGGAGGGACCAAACCCAAGATAATTTTTACCCCCACTTTAGTCTAATGATATTGGCATGATTTTATTCCCTAATTTTATTTCCCTCTTGCTGTACCTGTTTATCTTGGGTGAAAATGCCTTGAACCTAACTCCTTATTTGGACTTCTCAAAGAACTTTTCACAGGCCCTTTCTGTCCGCATTGCCCTGCTGCAAAGACACTTCCTCATTTACTCTATCAATATCCTAATTTGGGACTTTCCCCCACCTGTTTGTTTTTCAGGTGAGAAAATTGAGCCTAGAGAAGGTAAAGGACTGGTCCATGTCCCTCAACACAGAGCCAGGGCTAGAATTCAGCCCCCTGGCTTTCAAGCTGAAAGCATTTCCATAATTGAAACTAGCACCATCTGGGATCTGGGGGAGTGGGCACCCCCATTCACAGAGCTCTGTGTTTGTGACCCTGCTTGGGGTGAGGGCAGGGAGGGGCTCTTGAATATCCAAGCAGGGAGATTTCAGGCCCAGAGGCTGCTCCAGGGCCTCACATCCAGGGCCATTCCAGGAAATTATGGGAGCCTGAGAGACAGTAAATATTGGAGCAAATATGGGAGCCTAAGAGACAGAGTAAACATTGTACTTCTTTGAGAAGTACAATGAAAAAGAAAGAGAAGAGAAATGCCTGCCAAAAAATGTTAGCAAGAGTAGCCCTTCCTCTCCAAGGACCTGGCAGAACTCCAGGATTGTTCTATCTCTTGGAAATGACCCAAAAGGAAGTGCTATGAGAAGTGCTTTGGATTAGAGACCATAAAGACCACAATAGGAGTAAGTACTCTCCTCTGGATTCTCTTTTCCATCTACCCTGGAAACCATAACCCAGCCTCCTCCACCTACACCTGCTGAGCCTTGGTCCTATAATGAAGAGGAATTAGACATGACTTCCTGCCAAGCTATGTTCTCCTAAGACAGCTCAAGCAGAAGCACTTTGGAGGGAATGTTTTCCATTATCCTTTGCAGACTGGTGCAGATTAGGTCAGAAAGGAATTTATAGTGAACAGCTCCCGCTTGCACGACTGCTTCTAAATGGTGCAGAAGGGCCTGGGGGTGTGTTTTCTACTGATCTTCCTTTGGAAAATCTGTAAGCAAAACATTTCAACCACAACTGGATGAGCTATGTCTCTTCATTACCACTTCTCTTTCCCTACACATTGCCCCAGGTGGCATTTAAAAGGCCAAGAGCATTTCTAGGATTTGGCTAAAGGGAAGTTGAGTCACAATGCATTTTATTAGAATGTCTACGACATAGACATATCTATGTCACTTGAGACATAAATATGAGATTATAAAATATAAAGGAGTACAGTATTATAGGTCATGATAAAAGAGAAAATAAAAATGTCCTGCTACTATTTCTGTAGCACTTGTGATTTTTACCTCCTTTTAAAATTTTATAATTTCTTGTGAGTTCTTTTCCCTACCTAAATACTCTTCTTTGTTGTGATTTTTTATTAATAATGTTCTGCTCTTAGTCATAGAAGACAACAAAAACTGTATCAGCTTCAGGCTAAGCAAACCTGGATCCATCCTTGAATTACATGCTAAATTAAAGGAAGGAGGCCCTGGACTAGCCTGGGTAGGCAGCTGACCAGGAATGGTCCATAGGACCCACCCAGAGCAATTTCCTGAGAAGGTGGTACGCCAAAGAAACCATTTCTAAGCTTCTGGAGAATCCAAGCAGGGCAGGGAGTGGTGGTAGAGAGTGTGGAAGATGAGATGTGAGAAATGAGGGGAGGCACGTCCTCAGAGACAAGGACACATTTTCCAGGCTTCCCAATTTTTCCCAGGTCATCTCCATGGTCTAAGGACTCCATTTTACCCAGGCAGATTTTAACAGTCCACATAAGCACAAAAAGGACTTGATGGTTGGAAAAAAGTGATTCTACTGGTTTTAGCAACTGTTCACTTCAGTGATGCTACAAAGGAGCAGGGCAGGTACCTTCACGACTTTAGTGAACAGGTTCCAAGTCATGTGTTTGGATCAGTGAATGTTTGCTGTCTTGGGAACTGAGAACAGAATTCCTCTTCTCTATACATTGGTAGCCCTTCCTCAGTACAAGTTGCCATATTTATTGCCCTGGAAAGTCCAGGACTGGGCCTTAACTAGGCCAATCAGAACTCTTCCCTGGAATTTTAGCATGAGCAACTAATCAGAGTAGTGCTCACTCACTCTTGCCTAGTAAGTGTTTGGATGTCCAGCAGCCCTGTCAAAGACTGTGTTAACTTTATGTGTCAACTTTCCTGGATTAAGGGATGCCCAGATAGCTGGTAAGACATTACAGGTGTGTCTGGAGTATTTCCAGATAAGACTGGCATTTCAATCAGTAGTAAGTAAAGATCTCCCTCCCCATTGTGGGCAGCCATCAGCCTATCTGTTGAGGATTCAAATAGAACAAAAAGGATAAAGGAAACATGAAATCTCTCTCTTCTTGGGTGGGTCATCCCCCTTCTTATGCCCTCAGACCTTGCTGCTCCTAGTTCCCCAGATTTCAGACTCCATCAAGGACTTACAGCATTGGCTTCCCACCCTCCACCCCACACCCCATGGATGGCCTTTGCACTCAGTCCAAGTCACACCACCATCGTTCCCGACTCTTCGGCATGCAGATGGCAGATCATGGGACTTCTTGGACTCCAATTCTACAGGAGCCAATGTCTGTAACAAATCTCATCTTCTATATGGCCATACACATCCGATTCTTTCTGCTTCTCTGGAGAACCATGCCTAATAAACACAGCAAGAACCTCTCTGAGAAAATGAAGCTCAGACACTGTCAGAGTCCTGTCCTCAAACCAGGAGGAGAGCAGCCTATACTTAGACCAGAGCTTTGGAGGATGGAGCCTAAGATTGAAAATCCCTTAGCCAAACTAACTGAAAGAAAAAGAGAGAAAACAGAAATTAATAAATTTGGATATAAAAAAGGAAAATTCACCAGAGACATCACAGAAATCCAGCAGATCATTAGGGACTATTTTGACAACTTAGATTCCAATAAATTGGAAAACCTAGAAGAAATAGATATATTTCTAGACAAATATATTTGGCAAAATTGAATCAAAAGAACATAAAAAACGTAAACATACTAATAACTTGTAATGAGATAAAATCTGTAATAAAAAGCCTTTCAATGAAGAAAAGCCCAAGACCAGATGGATTCTCAGCGGGTTTCTATGAAACCTTTAAAAAACAACTAATGCCCAAACTCCTCAAATTATCCCCTGAAAAAGAAAGAGATGGGCTCTCCTAGAAGTGGTCCACGTGCTTCCACTATGATCTACTTGGGCACCAAGGAAGGTTCTAATATTTGTTAAAATTAGAGACATGGTAGGGACTGTGTCTTGCGCCGGGCTGTGTACACCAGGAGGAGGTTCTCTGCATGGTGCTAGGCCGAGATGGATCTGCTCAGGGCCCAACAGCTGGCAACAGAGCTAGAAGTGGAGATGATGGTCGACATGCACAACAGAATGACCAGTGCCTGCCATCAGAAGTGTGTGTCTCTCCACTATAAGGAAGCAGAACTGTCCAAGGGCATGATTTGGACATTCATGAATGGATGGGCAAAAATTCTACAGAGTTGTCTATGCAGAATGAAGAGGTGATGAAGAGTGTGCAGCAGAGCTCTGGTCCTGCATGAGGCCCTCAGACAGCATATACCTGGGGTGCACCTTGCTTCTCCCCACTTATTTAATAAAAATGCCCCCTATTGGGTGTCATGTGAAGACTGCCAGGCCTAGGCTCTCTGGAGCATCTCCAGGAGCTCTGATTGTGGTACAGCTATCTTGTAGAAGGGATATTTGTAACACTGGTATGTGACTCTGTGTGTGTGTGTGTGTGTGTGTATGTGTGTGTGTGTGTGTGTTTTAAAGCAAGTTTGTTGACACCTACAAAAAAAGGGATGAAACACTTCCAAATTCATTCTATTAATCCAGGATTACACACATAACAAAACCAAATAAGGACACATCTAATGTAGGAAACTACATTAGAAAACTATAGACCAATACCCCTGATAAACTTAGATGCAAAAATGCTTAATAAAATATTAACAAATCTTGTTCAAGAACATATTAAGAAGATTGTATGCCACAACCAAATTGGTTTCATTCCAGCAATAGGATGGTTTCATATAAGCAAATCAGTAAATGTAATTCCTCATATAAATAGAATTAAGAAAAAATCACTTAATCATCTCAATAGGTCTTCAACAAAATTCAGCACCCATTCATGATTAAAAACACAGAAGAAACTAGGCATAGAAACAACCTACCTCAACACCATAAAATCTATATTTAAAAATCCCAAAGCCAAACTCAGAGTAAATGGGAAAAAACTGAAAGTATTTCCTTCAAAAGCTGGGACAAGATAAGGACATCCACTCCCACCACTCCTATTTAATATAGTGCTGGAAATTCTAGCTACAGCAGTTAAGGAAGAGAAGGAAATAAAAGGGGTAAAATAGGGAAAAAAGAAGTCAAATTATCACTGTTTACAGATGATATTATCCTATACCTAGAAGATCAAAAAAATCCACAAAAAAGACTGCTAGAGCTAATATGCAAATTTGGCAAAGTAGCATGACACAAAGTCAGCATACAAAAATCAATAACTTTTCTATATACAATGAATCAGCTGAGAAAGAAATCAGGTAAACAGTTACATTCACAATAGCTTCAAAAAAAATAAAATAAAATGCCTAGAAATAAATCTAAGTAAGGGGTTAAAAGACTTCACAATAAAACCTATAAATCATTGAAGAAAGAAATTGAAGAAGACATCAGAATATGGAAAGACCTTCCATATTCATGAATAGGCAATATTAATTTTGTGGAAATGGCCAAACTACCAAAAGTAATATACAGAGTCCATAAAATTGCCACCAAAATACCAATTACAGTCTTCACACAACTAGAAGAAACAGTCCTAAATTCATTTGGAAGAATAGAAAACCCAGAATACCAAAGCAATAGGATGCTTTGGTATTCTGGGTTTTCTGTTTTTTAAACCAAAAAAGCAATGCTAGAGGCAATATAATACCTGACTTCAAATTACACTACAGAGCTGTAGTAACAAAAACTGCATGGTACTGGCTTACAAACAGACACATAGACTAATGGTACAGAATAGAAGACACAGAGACAAATCCTCACATCTCTAGTCATCTGATCCTTGACAAGGGTGCAAAAAACATACATTGGAGAAAGGACAGCCATTTTAACAAATAATGCTGTGTGTAGAATAATGAAACTAGATATGTAGAATAATGAAACTAAACCCTTATTTCTCATGCTGCACAAAAATCAACTCAAAATGGATCAAAGACCTAGGAATCAAAAACTATATAAATCCTAAAAGAAAACACAGAGTCAATACTCCACATAAGGCACAGGCAATGACTTTCTCAGTAGGACCACTAAAGTTCAGGAATAATGCCAAAAATTAATAAATGGGATGATTTCAAATTAATTTCTGCACAGCAAAGAAAATGATTAGGAATGTGAAGAGAAAATCTACAGAATGGGAGAAAATCTTTGCTGGCTACTCATCTAACAGAATTAATATACAGATATATAAAGAACTCAAGAAACTTTACACCAAAAATCAAATAATCCAGTTAATAAATGGGGAAATGAATTAGACACTTCTCAAAAGAAAAAATACAAATGGCCAACAAATGCATGAAAAAGTGTATTATCAAGTAGAGAAATACAAATCAAGGCTACACTGAGATTTCATCTCACTTCAGTTAGAATGGCAATCATCAAGAATGCAAATAATAATAAATGCTAAAGAGGATGTGGAGAAAAAGGAACACTTTACACTATTGATGAGGTTGTAAATGAGTACATCCATTATGCAAATCAGTATGAAGTTTCCTCAAAAGACTAGGCATGGAAAGAGCATATGACACAGCTATACCACTTCTCAGTATTTACTCTCAAGAATTCAAGTCAACTTACTACAGGGATATACAAATTCACAACAGCCAAACTATGGAAACAACCTAGATGTCCACCAATGAATGAATGGATAAAGAAAGTGATATATATATATATATTCAGACCTAAAGAAAGATATGAAATTATGTCATTTTCAGGAAAATGGATGAAACTAGAGACCATTATGTTAAGTGACATAAGTCAACCTCAAAAGGTCAAGGGTTATATGTTTTCATTCATATACAGAAGCTAGAGAGGAAAAAGGAAAAGAAAGGTGGTGGTGGTGGGGATCTCGTGAAAATCAAAGGGAGACCAGGAGAGGAAAAGGACTAAGAAGGAGGGAGGGTGGAAGTGCTGGGGGTGACATTGACCAAATTAAATTGCTTTATTATGAGCACATAGGAATATGTCATTTAAAAATCCTATCAATATGTACAACTATAATGTACCATAAGAAAAAGAAAGAACCTAAGAGAAAAATATCAGATGCTGTCAGAGTCCTGCCCTCCCCACCAGGACAGGTATGCAGCCTACACTTAGCTCTAAGCTCTGGAGTATGGAGCATGGCTCCTTCAGGGAGAAAGGATCAAGGGGAGAGGCCCCCTCCCCATGAGTCTCTCAGCTTCTCTGCTTGAGTGGCCCTGTGCCCACTTGGGCCCCTTTCCAGTCCTGATGTGCTAGAGCAGACAATGAAGGAACGGTGCACCCCCAGGCCTGAAGGTTGGCAAAGGGACAGCTGTTTGGGGAGTCTGTTGTGGGAAGCTTGGATGAGCGGGTTGGGGTGTCCTCGCTCATGCCTGTGAGACCATTTGTGATATGGAGCAAAACATGAAGTGGGGTGGGTGGGGAACAGGCTGGAGGCTGGTGTCCCAGTACTGCCAGACTCCAAAGGAGAACGCTAAGGAGCCAGAGAAATAAAAATCCAAACCTGGCCTTCCAGGTGGGAAGACAGGGACATGCTGAATTTCAGAGCTTGTCAGCTTGGGTTTTGACTTTCTTACCTTCACACGTGGAATCTTTGAATCTCCATTGATACAAACAAGGCCTGAGCAGAGACAGAAAGAAATAGAGACAGAGGGAGATAGCAGAGAGCTCAATGGCATTTGAGTCCTGGGTTCTTCTTGTTCTGGAAACATGGATGTAACCCTGCCTTTTTCTCACTTTGTTCTTTTAAGTTCATTTTCGGGACTGTGGCTGTGGCTATGGCTCAGTGGTAGAGGGCTTGCTTAGCATGTGTGAGGCGCTAGATTCAATTCTCAGCACCACATATAAATAAATGAATAAAATAAAGATCCATCAACATCTAAAAAAACACACATTTTCCCCTAAGCCAATCTGGATTTGTGTTACTGTCCATCAAGACCCTGGCTAATACAGATCATCAGTCTTGAGTTGGAGATAAATAGAGAGAGGGAAAGAGGTAAATGGATGGAACACCTCTCTGTTACACCACTCCACCTTCCTACCCATCTGCCAAGCTGCAGGCCATGCAGAACTTGCTGATAGTTGGCTGGTAAGTCAAAATCCAGGGGGAGTAGTTTTACTTACCTGACCCCAAAAAGCACTTGCAGGAGAGTGCAGATGCCAGAGACAAAGAAGATGGTGCTGATCAGGTAGCTCTGAGTCAGGGGGTCATGCTGCAAGCACAGATCCTTGGCCAGGATGAGTGGCACTGCTACTAGTGCTCCCAGGGCTGTGAGGAAGTGCTGTGGACAGACACAGGACATGAGTGTGTGAATTCTGTGACTATACCCAGTAAGGGTGCAATCCTACCCTTAACAAGGATGCCCTTCCCAGGTCCAGTCTCAAGAGCTTTGCAGGAATCCAGCCATGAGTGAGGGGCAAACATCCAAACTAGGCATGGGAAACAGTGACCCCACTAGAGGAACTGGGCTGTGAGAGCAGGGCTCAGGAACCAGGAAGTGGTATCCTAGGAAAGAAACTGAGGCAGAAACACAAGCACAGGAGGACATAACAGAACCAAATGAGGGCCTAAGAATGAGAACATAGCAAGGGGCTCCTCACTCCATGACGCAACAGTGAGAGCCATTGACAAGAAGGCCTGAGCATTCACTTGGAGCCACTGGCCCACGGCTGTTTGCGGTCTCCTGAAAGGATAGAGTTAGACCCAGAGTTCAGGACAGGACAGAGCTCATAGCTGACGGCCTCAGTTATGCAGAGGGTAAATTACAGGTAGATAAGTAGCAGACAGGAGATAAATAGAAGACAGTTAGAGACAGAGTACATACATAGACACCTAGCTAGAAGGAGAGGAGGAAGGTGTAGGGGGCCAAGCAACCAATACAGTGTATGAATGGGCCACTGTCTCACACACTCTAACTCCAGAGCAGAAACATTGAGCAGGTCTTAAGGGGTTTTCATGGGCTGTGGCCATTTCTGTTCTGAGCCACACCGAGTGTCCAGTGTGTGGCTTCAATCCCCACACAAAGCTGACCATGAAGCCAAGTGTTCTGGCACATGCCTTTAATCCCAGCTACTAGAGAGGCTGAGGTAGGAGGATCACAAGTTCAAGGCCAGCCTCAGAAACTTAGAGAGACCCTGTCTCAAAATAAAAATAAAATGTAAAAAAGGAATGGGGATGTACCTCAGTGGGAGAGTGAGCTCTGGTTCAATCCCCAGTGTCCACCAAAAAATCTGACCACTGAGCCAAATGTTCTGAGAATAAAGACACGTGAAGCCACCTGCTTCTTTCCTTTGCTCCGATCCTCCCCATGCTCTGCTGAGCTAGGCCATGCCTCTGCTGGCACAGTCACAGGGCCTCTTGTTGTTGCTGGAATAACTTTCAGTTTCCAGCTAGCAGCTAGCAGCTATGAGCAGCTCGGAGTGCTTGAGGAATCTGCACTTGTTTGGGTCTGATAGGAAGGCCTGCAGGGTGGGATGCTCTGCTCTAGGGAGTCCTTAGTGAAACCACATCCTTAGCACTTGTGTTAACATTGCCAAGCTGCCAGGCCAGGAGACTGATAGCCAGCAGCTTCCACATGGAACTTCTAACTTAGAAACCCCCTCCCTAGGGACAAAGACCCTTCCTGATGATAGCAATATTTAGAGCATCCTCATAGTGTGGTTAAATTAGGCAAAGTGATTGGCTTATGGATACTATCTTGCTTGTGTATGATTGATTGGCACGCCCCACTCAGACCCTATAACAATTGTGTGCATTCCAAAAATAAACTGAGCTACTGGACGATGACCTGGGGTGGGTCTCCAGCCAGTTCTCTCACCAGTTCCCGGAGTTTGTGTGTTGATTCTGCATCCCTATCCCCCATGACTAAAGGTAGCCAAGCAAATAATGGAGCAGAACCTCAGCATGTTGTGGGTGCTGATAGGATCCCTCTGATTTGCAGCAAATGTATCATTGCAGGTTCAACCAGTAGAGTGGGGTCTACCTCATCCTATAATAATAGGGCCTAGGTGAAGGAAGGGTAGGCAGGCTTGGTTTGCTTTGGTTACAAAAGTTAGCTGCTGGGCCAGTCAAGTAATAAACAAGGAATGAGTGGAGGAAGAAAGGAGGGAAATTAAGAGCTCACTGTGAGGGGCAGTGCCTTGAAGTGTTCCCTCAAGGTGTCCTTAGGTGGAATGAAGACACAAGGCCCAGAACACCTGACCCTGCCTGTCCCTAGCACTCCTCCTGTCCACAAAACAGCCAGACCTACACAAAAAGGAGGCAAAACAAGGCACATTCTTCTGTTCTGATTTTGTTGGGGATTGATCTAAAATCTCAATGTGAGCTAAATTAGACCAGATAAAAATTAGGTTTTTTTAAGAATATTAAGAAAAAACTAAAATAGTCTATACACTGCATGCGCCTGCTTTTCCATACCTGATGTATCCTCAGGGAAAATGGAGTCTCAGAATGTGTACTACTCCAGCAGGACACAGGATTGGCCCTCTGAGAAGGACAGGAGGTAGGTGTCCCCTGCCTAAGATGGGACAGGCCTGGGTGCCAGGAAGAACCTTGGGCCACAGCACCTAGGGACAGGGACCCCCACATCTCTCCAGCCATATGAGTGGAAATAGCAATGGAAGGAAAATGGAAATGAAATCCAAGGCCAGGTTTTCTTTAAGGGGACAGTTTCAGCTCCTGTCACCATGCTAAGCAATGTCTCAAAAGGACCAGAGGATTATGTAGTGAGGTTAATCCCCTCGTTGAATGTTCTGGAATAATTCAACCAGTATGAAGAGCACTGGTCTTTAGGAGAAGAAGGTGGGATGAGATATGTGTTGAAAGCAGAGCAGAATTTGAACTCCCACTAAAAGAAAAGTTGCCCACTCTTCTTTCCTTGATTAACCTGACAACTTCAACAAACCATAATCAGTGAGGGGTGAACTGCCCCTTAAGGAAGAGGAGTGGGGGCTCCAGAGAAGAAATGTCGATATGTATGTAGGTGCCCTTCGACAATCCTTGCCATCACTCCCATGTCCCTTTGGGATACATGACATGAGATGTCTCATCCTTCATGGCCTCTTATCAATGTTCTTGACCTTCCACCATTCAGGTCAATACAAGACACAAGATTGTCCAAACATCGACCAGTGTTTCATTTCCTACCTCATATCATGCCCAACAACAAGGGATGACCAAAATTATCAGGGTCAACTCCCTCTTGTTAGCAAACAAATCTCTTTTTCTCCCTTTTCAGGGCTGATAACTGAACTCATCACCTACCCATACTCTATGCTGGTGCTGTGCCACTAGGCAGGGATGGCACCAAGGAAGCTGTTGAGCCTAGCACTTCTCTGACTTCATCTACATGTTGTGGAATTAACTAAGCCATTGACCCCACTCCAGAGAACAATGGAACAGTCAGAGTCACTGATGTGACCAGTCAGCTCAGCAGGAGGAAGAATCCTTTTCTGATAATACATTTCCATCCCCCAAATGCCCAGAGAGAGGGAGACTAAAGGGGATTGAGTTACCCTGAAGGTCAACCATATGGAAAACATGACTCTAGCTGAAGTCGGCGGTGTTGACCATTTTGACCTGGTTGTGTGACCTGGTAACTTGGGAGGCAGAGCCTCTTGGGACCTAGTGCTTGCAGAGTGGCATTACCTGGATCCCCAAGAAGATGCAGAGATACCATGGTGGGATGTCCAAAACGCCATAGGCCAGGTGGCTACTGGGACTCTTAGACTGTCCATTCTTTCTTGTGACCTGGCCGTCAGTGTGAAAACTGAGCACTCCATCATCTGTCTGCTAGGAACAAGAGAAGGACACATGTGAGCATTTCAAGAAGAAACAAGACATTTCCTGACTCTCATTGGATGGTAGGACAGCCTTCCCAGGGCCAGAGGCAGTGGGGCAGGGATAATGGTAGCCGGCAGGTGATATAAGATCAGACTCCACACCCTGAGATTTCCTATATTGTGCATGTGCATCCCAGCTTCTGTGTCAAGGCTGGAGCCATGCAAGGGAAGAGCAGACAGGAGGCAGCTCTGTGGGGGAGAAGGTGGTAACCTCCAGGTTAGAAGATGGTAGGTTCCCTCATGGTACTTTGCATGTGCTTCCATTGCCAAAGCCCTGTTCCGAGTGTGTTTATCATAATGGACGGTTTCCATCCTTGTTCTTTCCTGGTTGTGAATATCAGGAAGAACTTACTGAAATTGCCTTCCTTGCCTTTGCAACCCCAGTCTCTCGTGCAGTTCCTGTGCTCAGTGTAGACAGGCGCACTGAATGTAACATGCCAAGGTAAAGGAGAGCAGTTCACACAGAAGGATCTAGTGTCAACAGCCAACTTGGACTCCCCCCGTTTTAACCAACATCAACTCTGAATTGTTGACCCTCTCTCCAACTCCTTGACTGTAGAGCTTACTAGCCTTGGCCAAACTAGTAAGATTTTCAAGTCTCAGTTATTTTATCTCTATAAAATAATTAACTCCTCCCTCACAGATGGTTGAGAAAGTTAATTTAATTTTCCAGTACTGGGGATTGAATCCAAGGGAACTCTACCACTGAACTCCATCACCAGACATTTTTAATTTTTATTTTGAAACAAGACTTTGAATTTGCCATCCTTTTGCCCCAAAATCCCCAGTGGCTGGGATTATAGGCATGTGCCACCTCACCTGGCTAGAAAATCATATTGCAGGAAGAACCACATAATCCACGCCAGGAGCAGTGTAACTACCCAATAATATTAGCTATGGTATTTATTAACCTCCTTAAATGGAAGGGCTTTGAATATGGGCTGAGGCCCACAGCTGAGCATCTGACCATGGGTTGTAGGAATATGAGAGCATTGTCTCTGGTGTGGCCAGAAGTGTCAAGGCCACTAGCATGAAGATCGGCCACTCTATGTGAAGTGTCCACAGGGGGACCCTGGTCCCTGGCCAGACCACGGGGGCAGGGTCTGCACTCTTACAGGTATCTCATGGAGACATTTCTGGAAAGAATGTTGAAGTCATCCACTCCATTGCCCACCTCCATGTCTAAGTACCCTGTACTTCAGTCCAGCCTCCAAGAACATTTCTGGAGTAGGGCCACATTGTGACACTGATAGGCAGGTGCTGGGCACCTTGACTCTATGGGCTCCTTCCTACTTAAAAGAATATTAAAATTATATTTGGGGACTACATAGGTATAAAGAGGAATATATTAATAAAATAAAATATTTTCTTTGATCTTAAGTGTATTTCCTTCAACTAATTTTAAAAGAAATGAAAATTTTGTCACGGGCCTTCAAAAGTCCTAAGGCCTTGGGAACAGTGCCTACCCCACCCAGTGGATCTGTGATTCTGATCTGCAGAAGTGGCAGTAGATACAGTGAGTTCACCACTTGTTTAGATGAGGTAGAAATCCAGAAAACTGCCAGATCAAAAGCAGGGTGTTTGTCCCACATTCTTAAGGTTAGAACTGACCCTAAGGAACATTATACAGAGCCCCCTTCCTTACCCAGGGACTCCGTCTCCAACCCTTCAGTTACTCAAGGTAAAACTTCAGTTACTCAAGCAAAAATATTAAATGAAAAATTCCAGAAATAAACAAAATGTTAGTAAGTTTTAAATTGCATGCTGTTCCAAATAGTGTGATGAAATCTCACACTCTCCAGCTCCATCCTACTGGGAAGTGAATCCTCCCTTTGTCCAGCATATCCATACATTATATGCTACCCTCTACTTAAGTATTTAGTAATTATCTTGGAAGGCTATATGGATGATGCTTGGTACCTGATTGCACATGAAAAAAAAAATCTTTTTCCAATTGAATCGGCATGGGGCTAAATTCAGAGGAATGGACTGCAGGAAGTGGTGAACTTCTGGGAACTTCTCATAAGGGGTATGCAGGAATCTGTAAGGGGCATCAGAGAAAAACAGACAGGAAAGAGAAGGAGGAGAAGGAGAGAAAAGATGTGTGACACAGGCTGATTGATTGATAATTGATTGATTGATTAACTGATTATAGAAAAGTGACTCAGAGAGGTGCAGGCAGAATACAAAAGAACTTGGACAGATGTGATTCTGTCACTTCCCTGTTCAATGACCCTAGGCACATGACTTCACCTCTCCCAGCCTCAGTCCCCCCACTTAGAGTCTGAGATAGTCATAAAGGTATCAGAGTGTGAGCTTTGTGCTGCGTGTTGCCCACGAAGGAATGAGCTGTGTCCCCTACAGCTGTCTGTCCTCCCAGCGAGTTCACTTCATCTTCTCCCATGACCTCACAAAATTCCCAGGAAGGGGAAGGGCAAAAGGAAGAAAGAACCTTGACTGCGAAAACTGGTTGTAACCTGTCCTTTATTTCCAGAAAAGGAAGAGTGGAGACCAACATCAAAGACTGTCACCAGTCTGAATTCCCAAGTTCTGTCTTTATGTCAATACAGGCCATCTGACACTTAGGGAAATCACATCTGCACTGGCTTTAAAACAACTGTTTGGGAAATTGATCCTCCATGAAATCCTACTTGAGTTTTAAGTTTAAAACTTAGAGCTGGGAAAATCTTGTCTTCCCTGAGGACACCTGGTTCTCCCTTGGGAAAAACATATGTCACTTCCAGGAAGCCATCAGCTAGTATTGGGGGAAAGCACGGAGCCCCAGAATGACACTTTGACCTCAATGATATGCGCCTGTCCCCAAACACAATGGTTTCCCTCTCCTTTTGTGGTACTTGGTGTCTGTTTTTCTCGCCTGTTTATAAATAAATCTTTTGTTGTAAACGTCCTTAAGTCACCCATAGAAAGATGTCTGTCATAGAAACAAAACCAGCAGGACACAGTGGGACACAGTAGACTTGGAGTCTGAGTGTCAGAAATGAACCCTGAGCATCTTAGACATCCACAGAAACAGGGGACACCTGTATTGCAGAGCAGGAATTCTCCAGTGGGGGAGGGAGAGGTCTCTTCTGAGGGCATTTGTGCATGTGACCCACACAGCAGCAGAAGAAAGCCAATGAGCCCCTTCCTGGAGGAAGAATGGATTCTTCATGAAGAACACTCCAACAACAAGCACCGGTACAAAAGGATGGACACCACAACCTCTTCACGTTGACAGTGCATCTCTCTATTCCATATGTGAACTGTAATTTCACTGGAGGATTTGATACAAAGAGACGTCTACTGAGCCTTGGCGTTTTACAGCACGTTACAAGTTACAAAGTTCTTCCAGTGCATCCTCTCCTCTGAATCTCACAACCATCTCATTGTCTCCATTGACAGAAGAGGAGACAGGATCAATGAAGTCACAAGGTGTCTGCATAGTAATCCACCACATCTGCAGGTATGGAGGGCAGTTGCCCAAGGCTGTGGCCCTCGGGGTACTGGGTGGTCCTTGGCCTCCCAGGAGTAGAAGAACAAGCAAGAGGAGGCTCTGCTTCAGTGGGAGCAGCAACAATCCCCCAAGTGAGGTGGGCCCCTTGCCTCTCTGACACCATGTGTACCTGACACAGCCATCCATTCCTCCCAGGGTCCAGACCCCACCTAACACCGCCGTTCACCTACACTCAGATGAATTGTCCAGGTTTCTCCCACTGTGGCCTCAGCATCCCACCTCAGGGTCCTTCCTTACCTCGTGCCCTGCTCCAAACCCACTGAAAAGGAGATGCACAGTTGCCCAGAACCACTGCTCTCCGGGTTCCTCATGGAAGCCCAAACTCTAGGAAACACCACAGCCTTCAGGAAATGGAGGAATGGAGTCTTCAACTTATCCCCCTGAATTTTTTTTCTCTGAGAAAAATGGCAGAAGGAATCCTGTGGTGAGGCCAGCTGAGGAGCTTTTCTCTCAGTACCCCTCAGCTTTCTCAGAAGCGAGTACTGAGCACCATTTACAGAACGCTGACCAGCCATGGGCAGGGCCTGGCAACTGGGCTCCAGGGAACACTTTGTGAGCATAGCCCAGGTTCCCCAGGTTCCCCATGGCCAGTGTCCCCAGATCCCTTGGCTGTTCCTGGTTGGGGCCACAGCCCTGGCCTCCAGGAAGAGGCTCTTAAGGCCCTGCAGTGGGGGGTAACAAGAACACAGAGTTTCCTCTCAGGCCGCCCTGTTATTTCACGTGGCCCCCACAGGTTGGAAAGGGTGCTGGGGCTGGGGCTCAAGGACTGGCTGGAGAAGCCTGAGGATGCTGGACAGTGAAGAGCCGCAGTCCCTCACCCTTCCAACAGGACCAGAGTGCCTGCAAGGAGGAAGCTCATTCAGACAGTGCCTCCAAAGCATCGCCCTCTAGTGGAAGTTCTTCCCTCTGATTCTGTCCTCACTCCTTCCCAAGCCTTGGAATCTGAAAAGCCTTCTCAAAAGAGAAAGTCCAAGGCTGAGCACTCAGAAAAACAAACACTCAGTTTCAACAGAGGCCTCCTGGAGGCAAAGGGAAAGCCGTTAGCATAGACTGAGCACAGTCGGAAAATCCAGCCTTCCTCCTCTTCCCACTGCTTCCTGCCACACACAGAGGAGTGCTCAGGAAAGTCTGTCTGCTGTGATGGTCACCTGAGGTGACAGGCCCTGAGGGAGCTGAGCTTGGAAGCAGGGAGGGAGCTACCATCCCGACTGATAAAATGAACCTGAGCAGCAGGACCCCCCTGGGACTCCCCAGCCTCCTTCCTGCTCCCCTCCCCCCCCCATCTCCACGAGCACTCACCAAGCTGCCATCGTGCCCACAGTTGCTGACCCCAGAGTCCATGGCAAGGTAGGTCTTCTCCTCTGGCTTCCCCTGGGGAAGCAGGACAGAGAACACTTACCAAGAGGCTGCACAGCCGCCAGACAGAGGGATTAACTTCCCAAAGCCTGACTCAGTGCAGAGGGCGGGGCTCCAGGAGGGAGGGGCATGCAGATCTGTCACAGATATCCCCTCCAGCCTCCTCCCACAGGGAACCGAGGTGCATCCAACAGTGGCAAAGCTTTCGTAATTGATAAGAGCAACAGAGAAGTTAATGATCCCCATGGCACCAAGGACATAAATCAGAGCACATTCTGGCCAGGGCGTGGCAGGAGAGAACTTGCAGGAAACCAGGCTTCAGGAGGAAAGGGGGAACAGGCGTGGGAGGAGAACAGGGAGGTTGAGAAGTTTTCTAAACTGAAAATTTTTTTGAGCTACAATGGAAATCATCACAATGATTAATGAAGGAAAGGCGATTATCTCTTGTCAGAGCAGCAGCTACCCAGGCAAGGGTCTCACTGAAAGGAAAGGACAGGTGTCCAGGGGAGTGAAGGGACAGTGAAGGTCTGCAAGAGGGCAAGCAGGAGAAGGGTTATTTCAACATGCCCCAGCATGTCATAAAACAGTTTCTGTTCCTCAAAGGCATTGCTCTCCATCTGCAGGAGAGAAACAGTAATCCTGCCTGCACCCGTGCAAGATAACTGAAATACCAGGAAGTTATCAAAAGGAGCTTAGCAACTTCTCCTTAGGTGCCTTTAAGAGAAGGAATGCTAGCCGGGCCTGGTGGTACCCACTTGTAATCCCAGCGGCTCTGGAGGCTGAAGAAAGTGGATGGCAAGTTGAAAGCCATCCTCAGCAACTTAGTTTGACCCTATATCCAAAAAATAAAAAATAAAAAGGGCTGGGGAGGTGACTCAGTGGTTAAGTACTCCAGGGTTCAATCTCTGGTACTAAAACAAATAAATAGATGGATCGATAGACAGATACAGGAATGCTGTAAGACTTAAAGGGCACTCATTTTATTTTTTTAAAGAGAATTCTAGCCCCTTCCAGGTACACTGCACCAGAGGTTCTGAGTGCTTCTTTAATTTCCCTTTTTAATAAAATTCCTGCTTATTTGTTTACCTTGGCGTTTGCAGCATTCATTCTTCAACTCTCTGTAACATGAACCCTGACTCCTGCCAGTATCATCTTGGGAGCTCATCTGGGATCCCCAATCCTCCAGTGAAGTAAGTCATTTGCTCCTGATGATCTTTGATTTCACTAACTTTGGAGGAAAATTGGGTACCCATCAGTCATTTAAAAGTAATTAGTGAGTCTTAGTGATAGGTTTCTGGGTTTCTGTAGTCCCCAATCACCTGCCCTGAGGGTCAGACATGGTGGGCTCTTGTGAAACAGTTTCTTACTTTTCTACCCTGGCTTGGGGTGTGCCTGGAACAAGTAGACAGTGGCCCTGATCCTGGTCTGCCATTGGATGCCAGGATTTGGGTGAAGTTGAGAAACAACTGAGATTCTCACCAAGGCTGCTCTTCTGTGACTCTCAAAGGCCCCTCTTCTGACCCTGATTCCCAACAGCCCCTCGAGTATCCTGGGGTGGTTGGCTGATCTTGGAGCAGAGGAACGTGCCACTAGTCCAGCACCTTACATGAGCCCTGGTACCTTCTTCACACTCAATCCTCCTGAGGGCTTTCCTCATAGCTAAAGGTCCATCTGCAGAAGAGGTGTATACTATGCAGAGTTGTTTGCAGGGATGGATTTGGGATCCCTCTTCTCAATATTGAAGGGCTCCACACTTGCCAAAGATACCCCTCTCGCTGCTTCTGTGGCCCCCTTGTGCCTCCCCAGTTTCTTTGTCTGTAAGGGCATGGGAGGCACCCATCTCTTTTTGTTCCTTAGGGATCTAGGGAGACACATTCTCATTCCCTCTCTGGAAGGAAACTGAACTCTGTCCCTGTGGGTATCTCCAAGTCCACCAGAGATGCCAGATCACAGTCTGTGACTGAAATTCTTCCTCAAATTTCTCTGTGAGGAAGACATAAGGTCTGAGAAAACCTCCTCTCTTTGTCCTTCTAGAACTCCTGGGATCCTGATTGTAGATGAAAAACCCCCTTTAAAATTATCCTGTGTCCTTGATGACTCTGGTTTTACATAGTCTCCTTGGACCTGAGATTTCATACTCCGTAGGCTCAATTTCGTAGAAACGCATGGCAGAGGAGTACATCCCACTGACATTTAATTATCAGCCATCATATCTGGAAGTCCAGTAGTGGCCAGAGGAAACCGGAAGGTCCTCGAAGCCTGGCTTGTCCCTAGGATCTTTGTCACGTGGAAACTAAGACCTACACAACTTAGCTGGTAAGGTGATAACAAATTCAGTGAGTCGGGTAGGGTTAGAGGGGTGGATTGCCAACCTCTGAGAAGCTCTCCAGGGAGACGGCCCGAGGAGAGTTCAGTTCTTCTGGAGCAGACACCAGACTTCTGTTTGCTCTTAGCCAGATGGGATCTTTAGCCTCAGAGGTAGTGCCAAGTTCACCACTGGCCTGCCTACTGAAAAATTGGGACATGTTCAATTTACAGACACTAATGAAAAAGAGCTTGATTTTCTTCTGCTGCCAGTGTAATCCCAGTTGAGGTTATGGCCACCAGACCCGATGGGCTCCAGTGCAGAATTATGGCCACCAGAGGGAAGTATAAACTTGAATGCTACCTGGCAGGTGAGTTTGTTTTGTCAGGGAAGGAAGATGGTCTGAGATTCCCTATTCAGGGCTATTTTCTCTGAGGAGAACCTCAAATTAAGTCAGCAGTGTGAGCTAGACCTAGCCTACGACTACAGCCATAATGAAAGAGAAGTCTGAGGAGACACCTATGAGGGCAGAAGTCAGAAATACCCCAAGAATTCCCAACCCCTATGTTTTATTCAGTTTTTTCACTGGTGTAACTAAAAGACCTGACAAGAAGCTGGGCACAGTAGCACATATTATCACAGCCACTCGGGAGGCTAAGGCAGGAGGATCACAAGTTCAAAGCCAGTCTGAGCAATTTATCAAGGCCCTAAGCAACTTATGGAGACTCTGTCTCTAAATAAAATATTTAAAAAATCTTGGGATGTGGTTCAGTGATAAGCATCTCTGGGTTCTAACCTCAGTACCAAAGAGAGAGAGAGAGAGAGAGAGAGAGAGAGAGAGAGAGAGAGAGAGAGCGAGAGAGAGAGAAACAATTTTAGAGAGGGAAAAGTTTATTTTAGGGCTCACTTGTGGTTTCAGAGGACTCATTCCCTGTCCACAGACAGCCAACTCCATTCCTCAGCCCTAAAAGTGAGCTGAACATAATGGCAGAAGAGCACGTGGGTGGGGAAAAGCCCAAGATCTTTCATCATGAATCAGAGATTGAGCTCCATGCAACCAGGATAAAAAATATTCCCCAAAGGCATTCCCCATGATTCACCTCCTCCAGCCACACCCTGTCAGCCTTCAGTTACCACTTAGTTATTCCCCATCAGAAATTAATTCACTGATTGTGTTAAGGCTCTCCTCACCCCATCACCTTACCTGTAAACTCTCACAAATTGTCTTACACATTGGGGGACACCTAATATATAAATCATAACACCCTACTAACCCCTGCCAACAGCCCTGGCATCCTCCCTACCTAGGACCCCACACATCCACTCCTACAGGAGGACAAAGCATATTGTTGCTTCAGGAAAGGCCAGGAGGGGAATTGGGGTCAACCAAGGTGTATGTTCCTCTTTTTCTCTTCAAGACCTGAGGCAAATAAAGATGGACTTAGGAAAGTTCTCAAAGTTTCCAGATAAATACATTGAGGTGTTCCAAACTGTCAGATGCTCAGTCATACCCGGAGGGATATTGTGTGACTACCTAATCAAGTTTTGACCTCTAATGAAATGGGAACTCTTCATGGCAGCTAAGCATTTTGGAGATGATGTTCATCTCAGCTGTGTCCCTGCAGCACAGCAGAAAAGTAAATGTATCCATCTGGGGTTCAGGCAGTTCCTAGGAACAATCCCAAGTGGGAACCAAACAATGAACAGGATGACTAGAAAATGAGACATTTTTAGGTTCTGGTCCTTGAAGGTCTCAGAAGGTTGAGGCAGAAGCCTACCAGCTACTCGAAGACAATCTGAAATCCATCAAGGCCCTCAGAAGAACCCCACAACCTTTCTGGAGAAACTCGGGGAGGCATTGAGAAAGCACACCATAGTGGATCCTGAATCCACACAGAGAGACATAATTTTAGAGGGTAAATTTATTACTTGGTCAGCTCCAAACATTTGGAGGAAGTTACAAAAATTGGCTTATGGCCCTGACCAGTCAGATGATATCCTCTGAATCACAACATCCGCCTTTCCTAATGGAGATCAGGAGGAGAGGAAGGAAAGGGAAAGTAGAGACAGAAGGAAGGCTGAAGTACTGGTCCCGACCCTGAGGGAGCAGCTTGTGGGGTGTTAAAGGAGATAAATGGACTGGAAGTCAAATCACAAAAGGAACTTGTTTCCACTGGAAAGGAGGACATTACCAACCGGCATGCAATAATAGGTTTGGTGACCCCGTCAAGGCCCTATCCAATCTGTCAAGGCCCTGCAATCACTGGAGGAATGAATGTCCCCAGGGGTGCAGGCTCTCATGGTTCAGATTCCTCCAACAAGGACCAAAGGGGAGGGAGCAGAGTCAACCTTAATGACTCTAGTGACACCCATTACTACACAGGAACCCTGGGTATGCTTCTCGGTATAGAGCCAAAAGGTCAGCTTCCTTCTGGACACTGGCACCAGCTTCTCCGTACTTGTCCCTTATCCTGATCCCCCTCTCTCTGATACCATGATGGTGCAAGGGGTGTCTGGATGGCCTATCACTAGATATTTTACCCCTCTGTAAAGCTGTGAATGGAATGGAGGAGGCTTTCTCATGCGTTTCTGATAGTCCCAGAGTGCCCTACTCCTTTTGGGAACGAGATATACTCTCAAAATTTCAGGTCTCCATTTCCATGAATTTGGGACCCCAGGGTCATTATGTCTACCTCTATTAGAATGTGATATATACTCTGAAGTGTGGACCACTGAGGAAAAAATTGGGTGAGCAAAGAGTACAATTCCAGTTACAATAACTTTGAAGGACCGCTCTGTCTTCCCACACCAGGGACAGTACTCCCTGCAC